TCACACACAGACTCGCTAGAATGTGGACATCGCTAGTGGCTCTTCAAAGCAAAGCCAGCGAGGATGTATCATCTCAGTATTAGCAACTCCTCTGGCTCCAGAAAGAAATCTGATTGTAGAAGTCTGTAGGAAATGACCCAAGTGCTCTCTAGTGACTTCAGAAAATGCTTTTTTAATGAGTTTACAGTCGTAATCGATGGTTGCAAGTCTTATTTAACTCAGCACATGTAAATTATGGCCTCTATTAGAGCCTGAAAGGGCAATAAAACAGGGTATGCTTTCAGACAGGCCTGCCTCGTGATTGTAAAATCTCTTTTGAATGTGGAGCGTCCTTTAGTTTCTCATTTCATTTTTTATACACAGTCTATGGATTGACAACATTTTCATACTTATAAAAGTGCTTTGTGGTCATCTTGTTTGAGGCCAGCTTTTGAACCATAAAGATAAAGGTGCTCCCTCTGAACAAATGATGACGCACGGCATAAAAGAGGATCGAACAGGATTCGGTTCTTTTCCTGTAATTTGTTTCACACGTTTGAGGTAAAAATCTAAGGTTTCTAAATTAGAACAAGACCAATCTATAGTTATTTTAGTGCCACAATAACTATATGACTACATCCTAAATTGCTACATTAAAAACTAGGATTTTGATTAATGGGAAAAACACTGACCCTAATAAATGGGAATAATAGGAACGCAAGCAAAAAGAGACCAACTTAAACGCTGACCAGTCCAGAATCATGTTTCCAGAGTTGGATAATTACCAGTGTCAGTATATTAAATATAATATTTAAATATTCACCCTTCCGTAGCATGAATAAGGCAGGGGTCTAGATCATCTTTATTTGTTGCTTTGGGGGATTTTAAGCTGTTGATTCCAAATTAGTAGCATTAATAGGAGCAAAACTGTTTTAAAAAGTATACCCTCTAACATGAGCAAAAGTAAGCATTGTTATAACTGTAGTTGTGCTGGATTACAGAGCCACAACAATAAATCCTTTGCTTTTCTTCAGCTGGTTACCAATTATATATCTGCCGCCATGGTATAACCCATATTTAATACACTGAGTAGTCTGCAGTAACGATGTGTGGATGAAGGGCGAACAGAGAATTACCGTAACTGTAAAGTGTACCTGAATAGATTTAAAAGCAGCAGGTTGACCTCTTCCACTCTCACACTCCCAATGTGCTTTGCTTCGCTCTGTTTGGTTTGAGTCGCTCTGCGTTTGGTCCAGTCTGACGGATGCTGGAGCATGTTCCTCTCTGTCTGTGCGTATGTCACATGTCAGTCGGGGGGGAGGCTGGGTTGTGGTGGTGGTTGGGGTGGGGGGTGGGGGTGGGAGGCTGAGTGTCGTCAGTTAGCATGGCAACCTGCCGCCTTAGCAGCCTGTTGGTCCCGTGTGGAATGCGCAGGACGTAAAAGGAATGCGACTTAGATCGATCTGTTGCGTAGCCGGGGACGCTGTCTGCATGCTGGCTCCGTTCTGAAGCTGCGCATGGGGTGCCGTTTCAGTCAGCAGGCAGCATGTGGGCCTCCCCTTGTTCCACAAAGTGCCCTGTCAGTAACGGTTAGACCTTCTCTCTCTTTCACCCCGCCTGGCTTTATAAAGGGCCACAAGCAGGTGGGTTTGTCACGGAGACACACGTGCCCTCCTTTTCCTTCCTCCGCCCATCACACGACACAAGTAGGAGACACTGCCGGAGCGCAATCACCACACATGCATGCAGACATGATTAACACACACACGCACACACACACGTATAATATGACTCATCTGGAAAAATCAAGGTTAAACTGAGTTTCCTCTCATAAAGTATAAACTCTTCATGGTGCAGAACAATTTCCTTGGCCTAACTGTGTTGTTGAAGCAATAAAAGATGTTTGTTACAACTGTTAATGTTTTTAGTGTTTATAACAGGATGTAAAGGACTGAATGAGGGAATTTAGCAATTTATGAGTATCTTTAAGTGGTTAATTTGAAAACGAATTAAAATGCTTTTCAAATAAAAATAATACGATTTTCTAAATCAATTTAATATTTTGTGAAATATTAAATTTTCTAACAGTAATTTATAATCACATGGTTGATTTATTGTTCAATTAGTTTGTTGCAGACTGGAAGAATTGTTTAACTATTAAAGTGAATCCATCCTCGTCCCCAGTTGTCAACGTCTGGTACTTCCCCTGCAGTACTCATCAGAATCTAATCAAACTTGCACACACTGATCGCTCAATGGGTCCTCACCCAAACTGTGATCAAGGTCGAGGTAACATTGGTTGTTTTACGTGCAGTAACCTGTGAATTGTTATGAATCTTGAGCCTACATCATTTACATCCTTGTTAAGGAACTAGTTAAAGGTAGAGAATATATGTAGGATTGATTTCTTCTAGAAGAAATTGGTGAACATGCCAAACTGGACTCTAAAGGCTTTCAAAACTCTTTTGCTAGTCAAATTTTATTATACATCTTTAAAATATACAAACCATAAGAACTTTGAATACTGTGTAAAATGTTTAAAAAAGGAAGAACTGAATGATGAGCCCAGATCAGTCACCCTTTGAAACCATTTTGCATTAATGATAAAAAAAAATCGAATAAAAGACATCCTGTATAAATTGATTATGTGAAAACATTTACATTTAAAAACTGCAACTGTCCTCCAATCACAGAGTTTGTATAAGTATGGTAAAGCTGCTCCAGCTATTTAAAATGACCGTGTAAAAATGTCAGATTCTGGAGTTTGTATGTTCTTTTTTTCTAATCCCATTTAAATACAGGCTTTACATTACTTAATGACAGGCTTTATTCATGCTAAATGTGTTTAATAAGATCATTTGTTTCCTCATATTAAGATTTAAAGGATCATTAGCAGTTGTAACAAGGAACCCTCAAATTATTCCCGCAGTTTTTTGCCTCCGATTTTTTGCACCACTTGCTCGTTAAGTTTTACTTTACTTTTGTCCTGATTGAAAGGCTGAAAACAAGGCAGTGTCATATTTTAAATGGATAAAAGGCTCATTTCCTGGCTGATGTTCTGTATAATGGAGGCGGGCTCCAGAGCAGCACTGAAGGCCATCTCTGTCTGTTTCTACAGATGAGATGAACGACCACCAGAACACGCTGTCCTACGTCCTCATCAATCCTCCTCCTGACACCATGCTGGAGCTCAACGACATTGTGTAAGGACCTCTCTCTTTTGTCCTCTACACTTTACTTTGTTAACACCTTTGTGTTTTATCTGTGTGTTGTTAGTTACAGTCAGACTAAATTACAATCTAAACCATTGTGTTTTTTAGACTGCTCAGCCAATACTAATGGTACTTAAATGTAAATTAAACTGAGTAATAAATTACTGAATAGTTGACATGTGGAGCTCAGCTGTGATATACACAAATCAAAATCTTATATATTGTTATTAAAGCCTGGAAATTATAATATGGTATCCATCCTCATTTGTCAAAGCATTAACCAATATTAAATATCACTTTATTACTACTTACTGCCACAAGTCATAATATAAATATTAGTATATAAATATATTAAAATATATAGTATCAGAATACAAATATATTGTAATGCGAAGATATTACAATTTATTTTGTAACCAGCACATTGTTTTACTATATTTACCCCGGGTTTCCTGAATGTTATTACCCATCCATCCATCCATCTTCTTCCTCTTAACTGGGGCCGGGTAGTGGGGGCAGCAGCCTAAGCACAGAAGCCCAGACCTTCCTCTCCCCAGCCCCCACCTCCTCCAGCTTGTCCGGGGGAACACCAAGGCGTTCCCAGGCCAACTGAGAGATATAATCTCTCCAGCGTGTCCTGGGTCTGCCCCAGGGCCTCCTCCCAGTGGGACATGCCCGGGACACCTCACCAAGGAGGCATCCTTATCAGATCCCCGAACCACCTCAGCTGGCTCCTTTCGATGTGGAGGAGCAGCGGCTCTACTCTGACCCCTCCCGGATGGCCGAACTTCTTACCCTATCTCTAAGGGAGAGGCCAGCCACCCTTCGGAGGAAGCCCATTTCTTTCGCTTGTAACCGCAGTTTCGTTCTTTCGGTCACTACCCACAGCTTGTGACTATAGGTGATTGTAGGGACGTAGATCGACTGGTAAATTGAGAGCTTTGCTTTTACACTCAGCTCTCGCTTCACCACAACAGACCAGTGCAGCGTCTACATCACTGCAGCTGCAGCACCAAACCGTCTGTAGATCTCCCGCTCCTTTCTCCCGACAGTCGTGAACAAGATCCCAAGATACTTAAACTCCTCCACTTGGGGCATGTTGTTACCCAATGACATAATTTCAATGTAATATCACTCAGCTATAACAACTATTGATACAAAATTATTATTTGGATACACTTACAACTTCAGTGTGGTAATTAAAAGGGAATAACTTGATGTTACTACGTTATTACTGAGCTGTAACAAATTGTTACTTTGTTATCTGATCTGGAGGAAAAGGACAAATTATAATAAGTTTATTCAACTTAGTATTTACAGTCATCCTTGTATATCCAGATATGCAGCTTGCAAACAGCTACAAACAATGACTTCACACTGTTTCGTAAATATATCTTTTGCAGGAGAACAGCAGGAAAAGTCTGGTATTATGTGAAATATTCCATTTATAACACCTTTCATGTAAACGCCAGCTGTGTCGCAAAGCGTCACCCTTTTTTGATGTGTGAATCGATGCCTGCAGCACACGCGCACAGGTAACGGTTAACACCTCGAGCAGAGAACCAACAGGGTGTGTGGATCTTAACAGGTGGTGATATAACTGGCATGTTAACTGGCTAACACTAAAAAGTATAGCTATTCTGAAACAGTCAACAACGTTACACGAATATTAATTAATACGAGGCATCAGTAAAGTTCCTTAATAATACTGGTGTCACCTTGTTAAACGTGATTGCTTCAGAATTATTTCTAGCCTCATAAGAAAGGCAAGTAAAAAATGACTGAAATAAAGTCTAGTTGTTATTTAACTTGCAAAGGCTTAACTTCAAACTGCGCACTGAACTTCCACTTTTGAAGCCTCGCCGCCACAGACTCCAGGGTCGAACTTATGTAATTATAATGAGCAGCCAGAAGGGACAGCTGGCAAATCATTCTGCTTTTGAGTAATGCACCAATCAGACACAACATTACAACCACTGACAGGCGAAGGGAATTGCGTATCGCTACAGTGCCACCTGTTAGGGTTGAGATATATTTGGCAGCAAGTGAACTGTCAGCTGTTGATGTCAATGTGGATCTGAGGGACTGACATGATCCAGCTTGAGGTGACTATATGACTGGGTCACAGCCTGTGAACATGGTGGGTCTTACTGGGCTACATTATTAAAAAGTTCAGTGCAGGCCGTGACAGAAAGAGGGCAGGCTGTTGACCACACTACAGAGCTGGTCATGTCGACCCCTGTCCACTGCCAAAGGGGAGGCATTGGAAGAAGGTGGCCTGGCCCCATGAGTAATGTTATCAGGAAAAGCAAAAGGATTTACTGTGTAAAAAGGCAGCCTGAATGAAGCAAGTCCTTGCATTCATGTGGGTGTTACTTCAACCTCTGCCTAAACATAGTTGCAGACCGTTTGTATCTGCTGATCGTAGCGGGCTCTTTGAAACAGCTACAAATATTATATGAAAGGACCCTGGTTTAAAGAAGCTGTGTGCACACAATACCTAATGTTAATGTTGGAGCTGATTGGTGTAGTTAATAATATAACTGTTAGAACCAAACTAGGTTTTTAAAGTTTCAATTAATTTGCACTCATCCATACTACAGGTTAATACACTACCCTGTAACTGTCCACTGATTGAGATCATGACAGTGTTTTAATAGTAGAACTGTTCCAGTATTTAAGATCTCATCTGTTATTTATTTGAGATCTGTTTATATTTTTTTTTTCATAGATCTTTATTATATTGTTTTCAACTTGATAGTAACTTTATGGAAATCACCTGGTAATAATAATTAAATTGTAGTATAAAAAATACAACTTGTGTTTGATCACGCCAGATGTCCTTCCTGACAGGAACACCAGCTGATTCCTGTCATCTCCTGGGATAAAACCAGGGCTCGTTCTCTTGTTAGGTAAATGTGTAAACAGTTACACTGTGGAGCCACTCTGGAGACTCAGTAAGAAAGGAAGGTGAACAGTGCAAACCTCTTGAGTAATATTTAGCAAGTACACGGTTGGAAAATTACTCTCACAGGAAGTTTTAGACTAATTAACAGCTTAATTTAGTGATAATGCTCAACTTTCCTAGAGGTGAAACCCCCGGCTGCCATATTTAAATGCCAGATGTTTGCATGTAAGTACTCGTTTGGGAGTCCAAGTCTGTAACTGCTCCATGCTGGCAGATAACGTCAGTTTTCGTCTTCGCAGGTATATAATCCGCTCAGACCCACTGGCGCACGTGCCTGAGGACTCGCAGGTGGGACCGGCTCGTTGTAGCAGGAACCAGCAAGACTTTGCCACAGAGACGAGAGATGAGACCCACCTCTGAAACCCACCCACGCCCCCGGAGTCCTCTACACACCCTGACCCTTAACCTCTAAAAGCCGGCCTGGGCCCACTGAGCTAGTTTGTCTCGCACAGATAAAGGCTCCTATCGGGCCGAGATCAGCTGTCCATAGTGAATGTCCATTAAGTGCGTCTCAGCTCGAGACCAGAAACGCTCAACATCTTAAAAATTCACCCCTGAGAGATCTCCTGTTTCCCTACTGAGCTGCTATAGAAAGATGCATGAAGAGTGCCTCGTCATCACCTGCCATTCAAACACACGCAAACACACATCACCCACGAAAACAATCTGAAACTGAGAACCCTCCTTCAAAAAAAAAGGACGGCGAGAGTAGAGCTTAAACAGAATATCTTCACCGAGCAGTGTGGTTGACCTCATACCATGACCTCCTCTGTGCTTGTTTCTACCTGAATTTACAAAAGAACAGAAACCTGGGGCAACTACACCCTCCTTCACATCTAAATGATCATGTCATCTAAAGATGAGGGTAAATGCTTTGAATTTCTTCTTTTTTAGGCATTTAACCTAAAATTACACTACCTGTGTACTTCCTCTTTATTTATTTATTTTAGCTTAATTCAAATTTTAAAACTTTGTTGGACAGGTTTTTTATTTACTTACAAGCACAACTTTTTTTTCTGTAAATATACACACTGCCGTGCTACTTTTATCAGCCAGGTTTGCGGTATCTTTCTGGAAATGACTTTGCTGTGACCATTGCTAGAAAGTACATTTATTCCTAATTTATTTCATTAAGTTTTCCAAGTCATGTCTGATCTACTGTATGTGCCATTCTGTTTACACTATTGCTTTGTGAATATCGTTGAATTATTTATAACTTTTGTGCCATTCTGCATCTTTTTAGTATGGAGCCTGTCAGCAGCAGTACAGGTGGAAATAAAACGTTCATTATTCCTTGTTTTACTGCAGTGGGTGCACAAAATGTTAATTCGTGTTCATAAAAAATGCAGAAGTGCCAAAATCTGCAGTTTTGTAGGTCATCTCCATCAGTGAGTCAGTCCCCATAGACTTGCATGCCTGTCGGGATTTCCCAACTTCAGCTATGAAATTTACATATTTAAAGCCTTTAATAATCAGGGTGTGACAGTACTCGTAGCTGAAACAACAATTATTCGCTGAACTGAACTACAACGTTTGTGCTGCTGGTGCCATTTAAAGCATTTCTAATGAAATATTTTTTGACATCGAAAATATATGACCTGCTGTGCAGCTGATTGTAAAGTCCAAGAATTTTGTGCTTAAATTTTGGTGTACCTAATTTTTTTTATTAGTAAGTAACTTATCAGTACTAATCAGAAGTTATTTTAGTCTCGACTTTCAGCCCCACAGCTTGCTAACCAAGCTAGCTGCAGAACATCCTCCCAATAAGAGCTAAACATAGTGAGCTTGGCCCCCTGCTTGTTATCACAGCAGCACTATCCTGCTTATCACATGCTCATTATTTAGGAAAAGTCTGTAGACTAGTTTTTTAATATACACACACAAATTACATCTCATGTCAGATCACATTTTGTGCATTCAGTTTAGTAAAACATGGCATCCCCCCCGCGCCCACCGCCTGCCAACGACAACCTCTGTACATCTGTGACATCAGTGTTTATTATTACAGGAGCTGACCCAAACATCTGCAGCAGCAAAAGGAAAACTGTTCATTTAAAAAAAGGAATACTTTTCTAAACTTAGCATTTAGAAATTAATGTTAACAACACAAGCCTTTTTGCTGCTGTACTTATTATAACTCAGTATTTATCTGAAGCATTATAAGCTGCATTTTTAATTTTATATTTAAGTGCTATTTATCGTTGAACAGGATAGAATGAGAAAATTCTTCTTTTTTTCTGGACTACTAGTTTTAACAAGTTCATTTTTAACTGTCAAGTGTCTCCGTCACTCAGTACATATCATGGTCACTTTGTTAGGTACACCTGTTCAACTGCTTGTTAATGAAGATAACTGATCAGCCAATCATATGGTGAGAGTAGAGTGCATTTAGGAATGGATGCCTGTTTGAGACAACCTACAATTCAAATCGTGCATCAGAATGGGGAAGAAAGGTGATTTAAGTGACGCGGAAAAGGGTAATCTTCATCATTTGAAAATTCACAGTGAAAATCTTTGAATTATTGCGTACATAAAGATGCTAAATGTGACTACTTAGCTGTAGAATTTAGAGAGAGTATTTAGATTGCCCAATTATCTAGCAAAATAAGATGCTCAATTAACAAAAAAAATTACCACTTGCACTAAAATCAAATCATAAAATGTTTAAATGACTTTCAGTTATCAGTGCCACAATGGATCTGTTGTGGTAAAAATTGGAGAATTGATATCTCTAACTGCTATTTCACTCGGTCACTTGAAAATAAAGATCCTCATCTTTTGCTAAATGCTATCAGATGCATCATCGTTAACTGTAATTAATATCAACAGCAGTCAGGCTCCAGTGTTTTCAACTTGAATTTATTTGATTGTTATCGGGTTTTTTATTTGTTTGTTTGTTTTTTGTTTTTATGATCATATCTGTTGATGAGTTGCAGTGCGACCGGTAGCAGAATAGTTTTGCACAGATATCGACAGGCACAGTCAAGTCTGTTTCTATCCTGTAAATTTACTGTATTTCCAAATTTATTTTGGAACGAGCTGAAAAGCAAAATGCGCTCCTTTCTGAACTGTACGGGCACATTGTGTATGAAACAATATTTAATCTTGATTTATCTTCTTTCAGCTGTACATTTGGTTTGCTCAGTGTATATAAAACCTTAATGTACTCATTGTTTGCCAGTTTGTTATTTTGTGTGACGAAACGTGAAACTGTTGGACTTGAACTATTTTTGCACTATGCTCTACGGGAATGCGTAGAGCATAACAGCACCCCTTTAATATGAATCTGCAGAACACGGCGGACAGTATTCAACCGTTCCCATGAAGCAGAAACAAGCGTGATGTGCAGTAAATTATCATGCATCTGTTGGTTTGGTTTACCCTGTGAATGTTTACAAAACTTAATTCGATACTTAATTTTTCATTTGTCAAAGAAATATCCAGTGACGATTTGAGAAATCAAAGTGTTTTCTCTCACTGAGATGTGCCATTTTTTCCCTTGTTTGTTCTGAAGAAAATATAGCATAGGCTTTTTCATGCTTATTACTGTAGGCATATTTGTTCCGCTGAAATGTACTGTTGATCTTTGTTCATTGGCCCCTCTGAAGTGTCAGTTTACAGGGCAGGGGAGGTGAGGAGTGAAAGCGTGAGTGACTGCGATGGAGGATGCAATCAGTGTGCTGATATACTCGCGTAACATCTTCCTAGGTCCTCACTTGTGACAAATCCTAACACTCTAGAAAGGGTTCACTTCACATCTCCTACTGTCCACACTTACAATACCACACAGGGCATGTTAACACGAAAAAAAAAGAAGCATGTTTTGATATACAGGCTTGCCAAGAACAAGACATTTTGTACGTTGACAGGGACATTTAGTCCAATGTCTAGAGAAACCCATAATCGAGTCAACTGCTTGCAAGCTGGAGTCCTTATTTGATACTGTGTATTTATATGAATGGAACATGCATGTTGTCTCTGTGTTAACAAAAGCCTACTATATGTATTCTGTTTACCTCCACTTTGTTTTTGAGTCATTGTCCAATTTTTGTACTATTTCTTATGAGAAGTGTTCTTCTCCACATTCATAATATGAACAAATAAATGCTGCATGCAGCCAGAGCGGATGAACCTAACACAAACACTGATGTTTTATTTCATTTATGTGAGGAATGCGGGGATAATGACATATTTTGTGCCGTATATAGATATGACCCTACCTATATACGTGGCTGGTATGTTATGTGATGTGACTCTTGTGATGTGTGCCGAGAGTTACCAAACAAAACTTCGTTATTTTGTTAACATCTTTTTTTCGTTAAAATTTTTTTTAAAAAGTATGTTGCTAGCTAAAAAAAAAAATCTTTATTTTTTTGCTCTTTTATTTACATTTCTATATTTGTACACATTCAGCTGGTATTAGCGATAAAAATTAGCTTCACCCTAAAACCTCTTTATTATTCTGTATTATATTATAAATGACGCATCATTTATTGGAGAAAAATAATGATGTATTAAATTAAAGTTGAAACAAGAAATTGAAACCATAAACTAAATTTAATAAATCAAGCGAGCAGGGCCAAATTTACTAACACATTTTCATAAAAGGAGAGCAAAGTAAAATACAGGGAGGAGAATATTTAAATCAGACATGCAAAATGATTTACTAACGATTGCAACATGCAATTTAGTGCTAATTGCGCTGATATTTAACGCTGAAAAAACCATGTCTTATCTTTTGAGCTTGATATTGAAATTCACTGACTGCACCTCAAGAAGCTTTTTTTTTTCAAGTCTAATCACAATTATCAGCACTCTTGGGTCTACTTTAGAAAATCTGGCCTTTAAGTAGACTTCTATGCAATCTGATTTCAAGAGCTGCCGTCTGTTAGCCATTAGAAAGATTGCTGGGTTTTGGAAAATGGGTTAAATTCAGCCAGTCGTCATATTTAATACAAATGCATTAAGAGGCAGAGGCTGGACTGCCCTGTGCCAATACAGCAAACTTTCAAGTTACACTTACTGTAAGAATCAAGTGAGAATTTAATTTTACTTGAAGAGTGATTGGATAGCCGTGATGATCTCCTCTGCCAGCTCTCTTCTAACGCCGTTGCTTGTTGGCATGTGTCTGCTTCCACCTCTGTCTGGTCCAACGGCCATTGTTCTGAACGACTTCATGCAGCAGGTTCATGAAGGCGTAGTCGTTCCCAGACAGCAGTGTTTTGTCATCAGGTGACGCACCACCAGAGGGAGCCTTTGAGCTGGATGCCCTGTTTTCTGCCCTCTGCCTGCTGTGCACAGCTCGTTTCGATTCCTTCCTCTGATTGTCCTCCTTGCTGCTCTTGATGTTGTTGTGTGCTGAGCTTTTTGCAGATGTCTGATGTCGATTCTGATGGAGGTTTTCTTGATTCGCATTTCGGTTTTCCGCAGTCGTTTGTGTCACAGTGGTAGTATCACGCTCTGCCATCCCTTCTTTCTTCAGGTGTTCCTCTTCAATTGGTTTTAAGGACTGCGAGTGTCTCAGGTCCATGAGAGCCCCCATTTGATTTTTCATAGTTTCATCTTTCTGTTTGTCCCCATCAAAAGTGAAGGGATGGCCTCTATCATTTACAGTCTTCTTTATTTCATCTGAAAACTTCTTTGTTACATTTTGCCTCCAAATAGTCAAGTCATCACCATCCTCCTCATCTTCTGCTTTTCTTTTGCATCTTTCCTGCCACTGAGCTGCAGCGAGGGGCCAGGTAGAGATCCTCTTGATAATTTTGCTGCCTTTTGATCTTAGACCAGGACCTTCAACAGACTCTTCAACAGGAAGTAATTTGTTCTGGTCTGTGCCGATGCTCAGATAAGGTACCATGTCAGTGCTAACAGGAACACATTCAGGGTTTTCATCTAGATTTGTACTGGGATTGGCTGTTTTTTCATTCTCCTTGATCGCGTCTGTGGTGTTTGTGGGATTTTCTGTCTGAAATCCTCCTGCAGCTCCTGTGGCTTCACTTTCATTCACCAGCTTCTGCTTTCCCTCAGCTGGCTTTTCAGTGACTTTTGCTTGAGCCTCTGTCTCAGTATGCAAAGTCACAGGATTCTTCCCAGATGCACAAAAAGGAGACATGAGGATTACAGCATTTGCTGACTTTGCTCTGATTCCAGTAAAGGATGTTATCCGAGCCATCTCTGCCTCTTTATTCTCAGAGGATCTTAGAGAGTCATGACTTGATCTGCTTTCTTCTTCCAGCTGCTCTTTGTCTTCTCTCGGATGCCCGGGTGTCACACTTTTTTTGTTGTGTTTCCTTCGGCGTCGCACAGCCAGGAAACACACCACAAACAGCAGCACACAGAGGACCACTGTAGAGAGGGCCAGGTAAACAGAAAGACTATTTTAGCTACGTATGTATTTTCAATGCAATCAAACAGAAATATACAGTAGAAACATACCAATCACAGCAATGAGCGCATGGACAATGTTGGTATCTGACGGTGGTTGTGATGGAACTGGCCAAAGAAAAAAAAACCAGCACAGATTTCATGCATTAGTATTTCAGAATTCTGATGACAAACATTTTGAGAAGAATCCAGTGTACCTGTCACTCCAGCAGGTTCAGAAGCTGTTGTGGATGAGTTAGTGAGTTCGGCGTGGGGTGAGGCTTCTGTCCTTAGCAGAGGTGACGTCTCATAAGATCCTGAGGAGAATAAGAAACAAGCTAGAGTCCACAATGTTGTAAAATGCAGAATGTTTTCACTTCTTAAAAGCAGTAATTGTGCAAAATGTTTTAACAGTTAGATACAGATATGGTCAGATTAATCATGTTGCTCTGGCGCCATCTGCAGGTCAATAACTGCCAGCGTTTCAGGATGACTCATACTAAGGGTGTGTGCCGATTTTCCCCAATGCGGTTACGGTAGATTCTGTCAAACTGATATAAAATTATTTTTTCATAGCAAAATAATAGACAACAACAAAAAAAAACAACAACTTAGGAATATTTGTAATCAGTGATTCAGAGCTATTCTGTGACCCAGATTTGATGCTGTCAAAGTTAGAGACCCTCTCTTTGCCTTCCAAACTGCCTTAATTCTTCATCACAAAGATGCAGTAAGGTGCTGGAAACGTTACTCAGAGATTTTGGTTTATATTGAGATGATGACAAGACCAGATGACTGTGGAGGCTGTTTGAGTCGACATGTTCAAGAAACCAGTCTGAGATGATTTGAGCTTTGTGACATGACTGTCATCCTGCTAGGAGGAGACATCAGAAGATGGTACATTAAGGGGTTCTACTCTATTTAAACAATGCTCAGTTGGTACTAAGCGGCCAGAGTGTGCCAAGAAAATATCCCCATCACCACTGTACAAGCAGCAGTGGCATGACTCATTGATACAAGGAAGGATGGATCCATGGTTTCATGTTTAGACCCTATCAATCAAATGCCGCAGCAGAAATCAAGATTTATCAGACCAGGCAAAATTTCTGTTGTCCAATTTTGAAGAGCAGAATTGTAGCATCAGCTCCCTGTTCTTATTTGACCGAGAAGCACTTGATGTGCTTTTCTGCTTCAAGATACTCTGACACAAAGAAATAGTCCATGTCTGCATGCATAAATGCATTGATTTGCTGCCATGTGATTGGCTGATTAGATATTTGTGTTAATAAGCAGTTGAGCAGGTGTACCTAATAATGTGGTTAGTCAGTGGTATGAGTTTAGGATCTTGGATCTAGTGGAGAGGAAAAAGTGTGTGTGTGTGAGTGTGTGTGTGTGTGTGGGATGGGGGTGGGGGATAGAAAAAAAAGAAAGGAAAAGCCAGATGTACCAGTGACAGAGGAGCTTGTGGGTTTGGTTTTGAAAGAAGTTTCTGTCTTTGATGTTGGTCGTGAAGGAGTTTCCACTTTTACTGCAGGAAAAACAGAGACACTGATTGCTAATGTTTTTAAAGAGATAAGAGTATTCTTGTCATAATGGTGAATTTTAAACAAAAAAAAGGAGCACATGTACCAGTGGATGCAGGGCTAGGTGTATGTACATAGATAGGCTTAGGATGGATAGAGGTCTCTAATGATGAAACTGTCACTAGAGAGAACAGTCGAGACATAAATACGCACAAATTTAAAATGTAGAGAATTTCACATTTCTAATAAAAACTGGGAAACGAAAAAAAAAAGTACCAGTGTGAGAAGAGCTTATTGTGGATGCATCAGTGGATGAAGCTATGAAAGAAGTGCCTGAGTTTGAGGTTGGGCGTGATGGGGGGGTTGACACCACTTTTACTGCAGGTAAAAATAGAAATACTAAGTGCCAGTTAATAGTATGCACACACTGAAATGTAAAGAATTTCACAAAATTTAATTAGCGACGTACTGGTGTAAGAGCTTGTTGTGGGTATATCAGTGGATTTGTGTGAGTTTGATGTTGGTCGTGATGAAGGAGTTTCCACTTTTACTGTAGGAAAAAAAGAGAAAAGCATTGTTTGCTTGTTTGTTTTTTTTAAAGGGGTGAAAATATTTCTGTCAGAATTTAGAATTTTTATGAAAAAAGCAGCACATGTACCAGTAGATGCAGGGCCAGATGCGTGTGCGTAAGTGGGCTTAGGGTGGACAGATGTTTCTGTATCTGAATCTGTAACTACAGAGAACAAACGTTTGCACAAATTTAAAATGTAAAGAATTTCAAACATCTAACGGAAACTAGGAAAAGAAAAAAAACTTCATGTACCAGTGTGAGAAGAGCTAAGTGTGGATGTATCAGTGGATGTGGGTTGGTTATTTAAGTAAAGATATGTAAATACTCTCGTCAAGTGTTACAAATAAAAACAACAACAACTGTGGCACAATTTAAAACGAAAAGCATTTCAAAAAAAGGATTAGCCACATGTACCGGTGTGGGAAGAGCTTATTGCAGGTACATCAGTGGATGAGGCTGCGAAAGAAGTGTCTGATGTTGGGCGTGATGGAGTGGTTGTCACCACTTTTACTGCAGGCAAGAATAGAAATAATAAGTGCCAGTTACTAGTACGCACAAAATGTAAAGAATTTCACAAAATTGATCAGCCACTGTACTGGTGTGGGACGAGCTCATTGTGGCTACATCGGTGGGTTTGTGTGTAACAGAAGTGTCTGAGTTTGATGTTGGTCGTGATGAAGGAGTTTC